AAAGATTTGTGGGACATTTTTACTTGATTACTCTGGAAAGCTGAATTTATCTTGGATGTGTTAAAATGGGGAAACATATTTTGCAGACAGGAATAAGGCAAGGTGCTTTTATTTTTGTCTAAGGCAAGGTGCTTTTATTGTTGTCTAAGGCAAGGTGCTTTTATTTTTGGCTAACTGTTTACAAAAATAGTTTATACAGATTACCTCCCTTCACCCATATTTTAAATCATTTCATCAGTTCCAAAAATGCTAAAAGAAAAAAGAAGGTCCATAATTGTAGCATCCCCATTTTATGGTTTACACATTTCAACAAATATTATGGTTCTTATTATACACACCAATTACCAAAAATTGTTTCAAAAACTGTACAAACAGTTGCAGTTAAAAAGTTGAAATGTGGCGGTTGATTCATAAAGGGTCATTACTGCGATACAAAACAAATACGGCATTTCCATTTTATGATATGTGCATCTTCATACGATACTCATTACACATAGCAAATCTCAAAAGATTCCATCAAAAACCTGAGGGACAGACAGACAGACAGACATGATAAAATAATAAGTGCCGCTTTTAGCAGGCATATGAAAATCAACAACACACAATTGTGAGATATTTCCTCTAAAGCATATTAGTTATCTGCAATTTAGTACAAACTCTGATGAACAAAAAAGGCAAATTTAATCAATTTTCAAGAGTAAGTAAAATTTGATACAAGACTTACCTAAAATAGAGACTTTGCTGAGAAATTCATCATACATCTTCCTCTTCCTTATTGTGCTTCCCTGTGAACACAAACATCTTCTTGGTTAATAATATAGAACTGCAGCCAGTACTTATATACCTTAGGGAGATATCCTATATATTAGTACAAAAAGGAATACTCATCACCTGAGAATGTTTCCTGTCCAGACTTTCCACAAAGATGATACTACATGTCATACATACATAATTCATTACAACTTTTACCCTTGACCAGGACTACGACCTTGACAATTTCAGTCTCTTACAGATATAGCTGTAATAACACTTGCTGTATCTTACAGATATAGCTGTAATAACACTTGCTGTATCTTACAGATATATCTGTAATAACACTTGCTGTATCTTACAGATATAGCTGTAATAACACTTGCTGTATCTTAAAGATATAGCTGTAATAACACTTGCTGTATCTTACAGATATATCTGTAATAACTTGCTGTATCTTACATATATAGCTGTAATAACACTTGCTGTATCTTACAGATATAGCTTTAATAACACTTGCTGTATCTTACAGATATAGCTGAAATAACTTGCTGTATCTTACAGATATAGCTTTAATAACACTTGCTGTATCTTACAGATATATCTGTAATAACACTTGCCGTATCTTACAGATATAGCTGTAATAACACTTTTTGTATCTTAAAGATATAGCTGTAATAACACTTGCTGTATATTACAGATATAGCTGTAATAACTTGCGGTATCTTACATATATAGCTGTAATAACACTTGCTGTATATTACAGATATAGCTGTAATAACTTGCGGTATCTTACATATATAGCTGTAATAACACTTGCTGTATATTACAGATATAGCTGTAATAACTTGCGGTATCTTACATATATAGCTGTAATAACACTTGCTGTATATTACAGATATAGCTGTAATAACTTGCTGTATCTTACAGATATAGCTTTAATAACACTTGCTGTATCTTACAGATATAGCTGTAATCACTTGCTGTATCTTACATATATAGCTGTAATAACACTTGCTGTATCTTATAGATATAGCTGTAATAACACTTGCTGTATATTACAGATATAGCTGTAATAACTTGCTGTATCTTACAGATATAGCTGTAATAACACTTGCTGTATCATTGGACAAGATTAACTTGTTCTTGTCTGCAAAGTTATAGAGTTACAAGTCTTAAACAGAAGAAACTGCTATCAGAGTGAGTAAAATGGGATATGCTCTTAATTGATGAACATGGTTGAATAAACTTTACTTTTATTAAAAATAGAAATAATACTCATGGGTACCAATAGCAAGGGAGTAATCCTGCCATGAATTTCATGGGATGGACATTTTGTATATGGCTGAGATATTTGTGGAACTACTTTTTGGCCCACCCCTCCTTATAATGAGCAGTCATGCCTGTGTGTGTCTGGTCTCACTTCCACATTTTTATTCTGACAACACGGTGTATATATACTTCCTTTTACCACAATTTTACAGACAACATTTATTTATTTTGAAGGATTCTTACACATAACATTTCATAATACAACATACATTGCTAACTGCAGCTAGCTTCATTAGTGTACTGTAGATGTACAAATTTTAGCGGTAGTCTTAGTTTAGCACTCTCCGCACTAAAATTATTAAATTAAATTATGAATGCTCTAAAGGAAGTTCTTGTATATTGTTCTCAATTCATATTCTGGGGGTGCACGAATTCATCAATGTGCTTATTCATTAAATTTTTATATTGCATCAAATATGTATGTTTACAAGATATGAAAAATAATTAACATCAAAAGTTCTATAAATGCTGACATATTTGACAGCAGTAAAGCCGAATACACAGTGATGTCTATTTTCATTACAACAAAGCGTACAAAATATTGTTTAATCTCTGTTAAAGTGGGACGTTTCAGGAAAAGTTGAGTAAAATTTTGATAACGCAGCCTGATGCGATCAATATATAATCCAGAAAGCCGTAGAAACAAACCATTTCTGCCAGTGGGCTTGTGACAAAATGTCCAAGCAAATGAAAGGTTACTGAATGCCTCAAACCAGCAGTGAAATGAGGCAATGCTATTACGCCTACTACAAATTTCCATATAAAGTTTAAGTCCGTATAAAATTGATTAATCCTGGATTTTCCTTTGTTACTCTGAACGGTATCAGAAATCAGCCTTCCTGTGCTATGTGATAGAGGTCTTCAATTAAACGAGAGTTTCCTTCCACTTAATAGGAATTGGTGTGACAAGGCGTAAAGCGTAATTGAGGTTTTCCTTTGTAGTGAGTCTTCAGCTATGCTCGAAATGAGACAAGAAAATATGTTGCCGCGTCCAGGCATATCAAAGTGTAGGAAACTGCAGTCATTAGGACCACACAAATAAAGCCATCAAACACGCTTCACCCTGATCAAAAGTCTTGCTTATTCTATGTGACAGTATGTACACACATTTCTTGATTAGAGTAGGACCTGTCTTGAGAGACTGATTACAGTAGGACCTGTCTTGAGAGACTTATTACAGGACCTGTCTTGAGAGACTAATTACAGAAGGATCTGTCTTGAGAGACTAATTACAGTAGGACCTGTCTTGAGAGACTAATTACAGAAGGATCTGTCTTGAGAGACTAATTACAGTAGGACCTGTCTTGAGAGACTAATTACAGAAGGACCTGTCTTGAGAGACTAATTACAGTAGGACCTGTCTTGAGAGACTAATTACAGAAGGATCTGTCTTGAGAGACTAATTACAGAAGGATCTGTCTTGAGAGACTAATTAAAGCAAAACTTGTTTACAGATAGAAATTATGGTAGAACCTGTCATTATACACTTTTTTTACAATTGAAACCTTTCTGGACAAGACTAATAACAGTAGAATCTGTCTGGATAGACTAATTACAATAGAATGTGTCTTGACAGGCTAATTACAATAGACATTGTCTTGATAGACTCATTACAATAGAATGTGTCTCGACAGGCTAATTACAGTAGAGATTTTCTTGATTGACTAATTACAATAGAATGTGTCTTGACAGGCTAATTACAGTAGAGATTGTCTTGATAGACTCATTACAATAGAATGTGTCTTGACAGGCTAATTACAATAGACATTGTCTTGATAGACTCATTACAATAGAATGTGTCTCGACAGGCTAATTACAATAGACATTGTCTTGATAGACTCATTAAAATAGAATGTGTCTTGACAGGCTAATTACAATAGACATTGTCTTGATAGACTCATTACAATAGAATGTGTCTTGACAGGCTAATTACAATAGACATTGTCTTGATACTCATTACAATAGAATGTGTCTCGACAGGCTAATTACAGTAGATATTTTCTTGATAGACTCATTACAGTAGACGTTATCTGGATAGACTAAATACAGTAGAAGTTTTGTGGACAGAATAATTGCAGTAGAAGATATCTGGATACTCTAATTACATTAGACGTTTTCTGGAGCGACTAATTACAGTAGAAGTTTTCTGGATAGACTTATTACAGTAGAAGTTGTATGAACAAGCTAATTACAGTAGAAGCTGTCTGGATACTCTAAATACAGCAGAAGTTGTATGGACAAACTTTTTACAGCAGAACTTGTCTGGACTAATTACAGTAGAAATTGAAACAGCTTCTTGACACTTTTTATACAGGTACAGCTGTGTAAGTTCTATACAACTGCAATACAGGTACAGCTGTGTTGGTTCATGACAACTGTTATACAGGTACAGCTGTGTTGGTTCATGACAACTATTATATAGGTACAACTGTGTTGGTTCATGACAACTGTTATATAGGTACAACTGTGTAAGTTCTATACAACTGTGATACAGGAACAGCTGTGTTGGTTCATGACAACAGTTATATGAGTACAGCTGTGTTAGTTTATGACAACAGTAATACAGGTACAGCCGTGTTGGTTCATGACAACTGCAATACAGGTACAGCTGTGTTGGTCCATGACAACAGTAATAAAGGTACAGCTGTGTTGGTTCATGACAACTGCAATACAGGTACAGCTGTGTTGGTCCATGACAACAGTAATAAAGGTACAGCTGTGTTGGTCCATGACAACTGTTATATAGGTACAACTGTGTTGGTTCATGACAACAATAATACAGGTACAACTGTGTTGGTTCATGACAACTGTTATATAGGTACAACTGTGTTGGTTCATGACAACAATAATACAAGTACAACTGTGTTGGTTCATGACAACAATAATACAGGTACAACTGTGTTGGTTCATGACAACTGTTATATAGGTACAACTATGTAAGTTCTATACAACTGTAATACAGGAACAGCTGTGTTGGTTCATGACAACAGTTATAAAGGTACAGCTGTGTTAGTTCATGACAACAGCAATACAGGAACAGTTGTTATGGTTCATGACAACTGTAATACAGGTACAGCTGTGTTGGTTCATGACAACTATAATACAGGTACAGCTGTGTTGGTTCATGACAACTGTTATATAGGTACAACTTTGTAAGTTCTATACAACTGTCATACAGGAACAGCTGTGTTGGTTCATGACAACTGTTATAAAGGTACAGCTGTGTTAGTTCATGACAACAGTAATACAGGTACAGCTGTGTTGGTTCATGACAACTATAATACAGGTACAGCTGTGTTGGTTCATGACAACTGTGATACAGGAACAGCTGTGTTGGTTCATGACAACTGTTATAAAGGTACAGCTGTGTTAGTTCATGACAACAGTAATACAGGTACAGCTGTGTTGGTTCATGACAACTGTAATACAGGTACAGCCGAGTTGGTTCATGACAACTGTAATATAGTAATACCTTTGTTGGTTCATGACAACTGTAATGTAGTAATACCTTTGTTGGTTTATGATATTTACTACTGATAGCAGGAACTTATTCAGCATTTTTACATAAGCTGACGTCATTACTGAACAAGGGAACATCATAAATCATTCCAACATTTCTGCAGTTGTAGTTTAATGACAAATTTCTCATTAATGAAAAGGAACACCAAGAGAAATTGCTGAAACCTGAAACCCTGCATGCACTGCTTTTGACAGACTGACAATGGTTTTCTAGTCTTATGAAGAATTAAAACTGAGCAACATTTAGCGCGACCTCACTATACATTGATTCATTAGAACCAAAGAGTCAGCAACTTGAAACAAACAAGGTTAGTTTAGTGAATATGAAACCTAAATGAAATTGAATAGAGTTTTATAAGAAACTGATTTAGGAACTTTCTATAGGAATTGGTCAGGAATGAACCCATTTTCCATATCGGTAACAATCAATTCCAACTGTTGTCAAGTGACTGCCTGATTTACAATAGACACAGAGAAATTCCTATAAAGAATTCTATTTATTGGCAGACAAGGGTTTCAAATTAACTTCTTGGAGCATGCCTTAGGAAATACTATTTTTTAAATGAAACCCACACCAAATGGTTTGGCTTAATAGAAGGATATTCGAAATTACATTGCAACAAAATCCAGAAAACAAGATCTACATCTAAATGTGTGAAGAAACAGCATGCAAATGTCAAGATCTACATCTGAGTGTGAAGAAACAGCGTGCAAATGTCAAGACCTACATCTGAGTGTGAAGAAACAGCGCGCAAATGTCAAGATCTACATCTGAGTGTGAAGAAACAGTGTGCAAATGTCAAGATCTACATCTGAGTGTGAAGAAACAGCGTGCAAATGTCAAGATCTACATCTGAGTGTGAAGAAACAGCTTGCAAATGCTTGTATTGTTTTCATGATTCAGGGTTTCTGGAAAATCAGTTTCTGTATGTATTTTTTTTTCAAATAACACTTCAAAACTTCCAGTAACATTCAAACATATATTTTTGTATCCAATCACTTTAGTTATCTGTCCGTCATTCTTATCAGTTTGTCATCTCTGTCTCAAATCTCGCTTGAAAGCTAAAGTAACCTAAAAACTATTCATCTGAGTGCTTGTAAGCAACACCTGTATACCAATCATCTGAGTGTTTGTAAGTAACACCTGTATACCAATCATCTGAGTGCTTGTAAGTAACACCTGTATACCAATCATCTGAGTGCCTGTAAGCAACACCTGTATACCAATCATCTGAGTGTTTGCAAGAAACACCTGTATACCAATCATCTGAGTGTTTGTAAGTAACCCCTGTATACCAATCATCTGAGTGCTTGTAAGTAACTCCTGTATACCAATCATCTGAGTGCCTGTAAGCAACACCTGTATACCAATCATCTGAGTGTTTGTAAGTAGCACCTGTATACCAATCATCTGAGTGTTTGTAAGTAGCACCTGTATACCAATCATCTGAGTGTTTGTAAGTAACACCTGTATACCAATCATCTGAGTGCTTGTAAGTAACACATGTATACCAGTCATCTGAGTGTTTGCAAGTAACACATGTATACAGATCATCTGATTAATTGTAAGTAACACATGTATACCAATCATCTGAATGCTTGTAAGTAACACATGTATACCAATTAATTGAGTGTTTGCAAGTAACACATGTATACAGATCATCTGATTAATTGTAAGTAACACATCTATACCAATCATCTGAGTGTTTGTAAGTAACACATGTATACCAATCATCTGAGTGCTTGTAGGTAACACATGTATACCAATCATCTGAATGCTTGTAAGTAACACATGTATACCAATTAATTGAGTGTTTGCAAGTAACACATGTATACCAATCATCTGAGTGTTTGCAAGAAACACCTGTATACCAATCATCTTAGTGTTTGCAAGTAACACATGTATACCAATCATCTGAGTGCTTGTAAGTAACACATGTATACCAGTCATCTGAGTGTTTGCAAGTAACACATGTTTACCAATCATCTGAGTGCTTGTAAGTAACACATGTATACCAGTCATCTGAGTGTTTGCAAGTAACACATGTATACCAATCATCTGAGTGTTTGCAAGAAACACCTGTATACCAATCATCTTAGTGTTTGCAAGTAACACATGTATACCAATCATCTGAGTGCTTGTAAGTAACACATGTATACCAGTCATCTGAGTGTTTGCAAGTAACACATGTTTACCAATCATCTGAGTGCTTGTAAGTAACACATGTATACCAGTCATCTGAGTGTTTGCAAGTAACACATGTATACCAATCATCTGATTAATTGTAAGTAACACCTGTATACCAATCATCTGAGTGCTTGTAAGTAACACATGTATACCAATCATCTGAGTGTTTGTAAGTAACACCTGTATACCAATCATCTGAGTGTTTGCAAGAAACACCTGTATACCAATCATCTGAGTGCTTGCAAGTAACACATGTATACCAATCATCTGATTGTTTGCAAGAAACACCTGTATACCAATCATCTGAGTGTTTGTAAGTAACACCTGTATACCAATCATCTGAGTGTTTGCAAGTAACACATGTATACCAATCATCTGAGTGTTTGCAAGTAACACCTGTATACCAATCATCTGATTAATTGTAAGTAACACCTGTATACCAATCCTCTGAGTGCTTGTAAGTAACACATGTATACCAATTCTCTGAGTGTTTGTAAGTAACACCTGTATACCAATCATCTGAGTGCCTGTAAGGAAGACCTGTATACCAATCATCTGAGTGGTTGCAAGTAACACCTGTATACCAATCATTTGAGTGCTTGTAAGTAACACCTGTATACCAATCCTCTGAGTGCTTGTAAGTAACACATGTATACCAATCATCTGAGTACTTGTAAGTAACACATGTATACCAATTCTATGAGTGTTTGTAAGTAACACCTGTATACCAATCATCGGATTAATTGTAAGTAACACCTGTATACCAATCATCTGAGTGCTTGTAAGTAACACATGTATACCAATCATCTGAGTACTTGTAAGTAACACATGTATACCAATCATCTGAGTGTTTGCAAGTAACACATGTATACCAATCATCTGAGTGTTTGCAAGTAACACCTGTATACCAATCATCTGAGTGAGAGTAATACCTGTATACCAATCATCTCAGTGAGAGTAATACCTGTATACCAATCATCTGAGTGAGAGTAATACCTGTATACCAATCGTCTGAGTGAGAGTAATACCTGTATACCAATCGTCTGAGAGTAATACCTGTATACCAATCATCTGAGTGAGAGTAATACCTGTATACCAATCATTGTAGTCCTTCAGAGTAACACATTTTGGTATGGAGTCAATATTATGGTTTATACCCCTATATTTTCCATCTCCACTCCACTTAAGTGGATGTGTATAAATAAATATGTTTTAAATACATATAATCAAGGCAGATAAACTTTCTTTAAAGCTATTTTCAGTGCTTTTATATAGTTAAAAGATAGTATTCTCTCTGATTAAGGAACCATCAGAAATTTAGTTATCCACTTACCATAAGAATTCTTCTATAACTGTCTCGGTCAATTCCCCAAAGTTTCACATCTCCCTTGGCCTGTGTCATAAAATAGAAATATTAATCTTTTGTCTGTAAGCACATGAATTTTACATACTTCAAAAAATCTTTAAATCTCTTAACTGGAATCATTTGAAAAACAAAACAATGCACTAATAGAGAAACAAAACAATGCATTAATAATTCAGTTTATTATTAGATAAGTGTAAGGCAGTACCTACTGACCCACAGCCAGCAAGCCTTCTGTCCTTACCTACTGACCTACAGCCAGCGAGCCTTCTGTCCTAACCTACTGACCTACAGCCAGCAAGCCTTCAGTCCTTACCTATACTGACCCACAGTCACAAAGACAACGAGCCTTCTGTCCTTACCTGCTGACCTACAGCCAGTGGGTTTTCTGACCTTACCTGCTGACCTACAGCCAGCGAGCCTTCTGTCCTTACCTACTGACCCACAGCCAGCGAACCTTCTGTCCTTACCTACTGACCTACAGCTAGTGGGTCTTCTGTCCTTACCTGCCGACCTACAGCAAGTGAGCCTTCTGTCCTTATCTGCTGACCTACAGTCAGCAAGCCTTCAGTCCTTACCTATACTGACCCAGTCAGCCAGCCTTGTCCTTACCTACTGACCTACAGCCAGCGAGCCTTCTGTCCTTACCTGCTGACCTATAGCCAGCGAGCATTCTGTCCTTACCTGCTGACCTACAGCCAGTGGGTCTTCTGTCCTTTCCTGCTGACCTACAGCAAGCGAGCCTTCTGTCTGTACCTGTTGACCCACAGACAACGAGCCTTCTGTCCTTGCCTGCTGACCTTCAGCCAGTGGGTTTTCTGTCCTTACCTGCTGACCTACAGCCAGTGGGTCTTCTGTCCTTACCTGCTGACCCACAGCCAGCGAGCCTTCTGTCCTTATCTGCTGACCTACAGTCAGCAAGCCTTCAGTCCTTCCCTATACTGACCCAGTCAGCCAGCCTTGTCCTTACCTACTGACCTACAGCCAACGAGCCTTCTGTCCTTACCTGCTGACCTACAGCAAGTGAGCCTTCTGTCCTTATCTGCTGACCTACAGCCAGCGTGCCTTCTGTCCTTATTTGCTGACCTACAGCCAGTGGGTCTTCTGTCCTTACCTGCTGACCTACAGCAAGCGAGCCTTCTGTCTGTAACTATTGACCCACAGACAACGAGCCTTCTGTCCTTACCTGCTGACCTTCAGCCAGTGGGTTTTCTGTCCTTACCTGCTGACCTACAGCCAGCGAGCCTTCTGTCCTTACCTGCTGACCTACAGCCAGCGAGCCTTCTATCCTTACCTACTGACCCACAGCCAGTGAGCCTTTTGTCCTTACCTGTTGACCTTCAGCCAGTTGGTCTTCCGTCCTTACCTTCACTGTGGCAGCTCTGGGTGTACCATATATCAGTGCCAACTCCCCGAAACTTCCTCCTTCTCCTATTGTAGTTACATGTTCATTGTTAACAAAAATCTGAAATAGAATAACATCAAGATACAGACAGCCCAGTGACATTCCTCATCTAACATTAAACCTGATGTTAATGTATCCTTTCAATATGACAAAACCATTGCTTAATATTGATGATTTTAATTGCATATGATAATGTCCTTTCCATAACTTTTCAAATAACTGGACTTATATCAAACTGTGTAGATGAGGTATGGATAAGAACAGGATGTGGACCCACTACTTTGTGTTGAACACTATGTAATTAGGTGTCAAACAGATTGGCCATTTATTCTGCTACTACCCATTTATCTATCCTCTGATCAATTGCTTGACCTCATGTGATTAGCCAAAATATCTGTCTGGAAAACAGGATGTCCAAAGCACTATACAAATGACACACATCTACAAATGGGTTATGCCAGCTGATCAATAGACATTGCTCACTTGTTGTCCTCTAAAATAGAATGCTAAAAGTTCCACTAGCACTTGCTAATAATACAATTCACAACCTTATATATGTCTTCAGAGGGCATCCAGTGCTTATTTATGCCATTTTGACATTCCTACATCCCAGGGTGCTGTTTTTAAGACAAGCATAATCTCTACCTCAAATATCCTTATTTCAAAGGCATTGTGGACATCTACATCTGTAACTACCTCTAAACATCTCAGTATGTTGTAGGTAAGAAATAGTAGGTAGAATAAAGGGGGGCTGATAAAGAAGATAGGATATGGAAACAAGAGGCCCATGGGCCTTCACGGTCACCTGATATATTTATACAGAGAGTTGATTTTGATTTTAACATGAACAAAAATATTATTCAAAGTGACAAAAAACAATAAAACCACCTTATTCAATATCTAGCTTACAGATTTAAGACTAAAAAAATATTTTAAACTAGCACCTCTGATTCTAAACAAGGAAAATAAAGAAATTTTAGCACACTGACGCCTTTGGGCCCCTGGCACCCTCCAGCCCTTGCGGGTAGGGCTGGCTCAAAATTTTCAAAGTATCAAACTGTCAACTCAGAGTTATAATTCCAATCAAGTTATTAACATGTAATATTCGAAGTATCATTTGCCATTATAAACCATAATAAATCCCCCCGCCCCTCCTTTCCCAGGGGGTAAACGTGAGACCCTAGGGTCATAAATAGGACCCTTCCATCTATGAAGAGTGTTTGATCTTTGAGAAGAAGATTTTTGAAATTTCAGTCAATTCAACCCTTTTTGGCCCCACCCATCAGCCCCTGGGGGTCAGTCAGGGCTGATATGTGCATACCATCAAACTGCTATCCAATACTGATAATGCTAACCTAAATTGAATTACTTCCGAAATTAAACAAATGTTGGTCCAAAATGTGATTTCCCTATATAAACTATAGTAAAGTTTACCCCCTCCCCAGGGGGAAACGTGAGACCTCAGGGTCAAGAAATTCACAATTTTGGTAAAGCACCTTTAGATCCTTCCATCTATGAATAGTATTTGATTCTACCATATCTGGGTCTTGAAAAGAAGATTTTTGAAATTTCAGTCAATTCCACCCTTTTTGGGCCCACCCATCAGCCCCTGGGGGTCACTCAGGGCTCATATGTGCATACTATCAAACTGCTACCAAATACTGATAATGCTAACCTAAATATAATTACTTCCAATGGAAATTAAACAAATGTTGGTCCAAAATGTGATTTCCCTATATGAACTATAGTAAAGTTTACCCCTCCCCAGGGGGAAACGTGATACCCCAGGGTCAAGAAATTCACAATTTTTGTAAAGCACCTTAAGACCCTTCCATCTATGAAGAGTGTTTGATTCTACCATATCTGGGTCTTGAGAAGAAGATTTTTGAAATTTCCTTCATTTCGACCCTTTTTGGCCCCACCCGTCAGCCCCTGGGGGCCACTCAGGGCTGATATGTGCATACCATCAAACTACTACCTAGTACTGATAATGCTAACCTAAATATAATTACTTCCAATGGCAATTAAACAAATGTTGGTCCAAAATGTGATTTCCCTATATAAACTATAGTAAAGTTTACCTCCTCCGCAGGGGGAAACGTGAGACCCCAGGGTCAAGAAATTTACAATTTTGGTAAAGCACCTTAAGACCCTTCCATCTATAAAGAGTATTTGATTCTACCATATCTTGGTCTTGAGAAGAAGGTTTTTGAAATTTTAGTCAATTTGACCCTTTTTGGCCCTGACCCTCGGGCCCCTGTTTTGTTGACCTTTGGCCATGGAAGGTTTCTGCAAAATTTCATTGAAATTGGTTCAGGGGTTTTGGAGGAGAAGTCGAAAATGTATATTGTTTACCGACGGACGACGGACAAAAGGCGATCACAATAGGTCACTTGAGACTTTGTTTCAGGTGACCTAAAAAGGATATGGAGGGCAGAATGTAGAACCGATACAGAAGGTAGGATATAGAAGGTAGGATACAGAAGGTAGGATACAGAAGGGAGGATATAGAAGGTAGGATACAGAAGGTAGGATATAGAAGGTAGGGTAAAGAAGGTAGGATATAGAAGGAATGATACAGAAGGTAGGATACAGAAGGTAGGATATAGAAGGTAGGATAAAGAAGGTAGGATATAGAAGGAAGGATACAGAAGGTAGGATACAGAAGGTAGGATATAGAAGGCAGCATATGGAAGGTAGGATATGGAAGGTAGGATACAGAAAGTAGGATATAGAAGGTAGGATACTGAAGGTAGGATATAGAAGGTAGATTACAGAGAAACAGAAATAGAAGGTAGGACACTAAAGGTAAGAAATAGAAGGAAGAATACAGGACGGAATTAGAAAGTAGGATACTGAAGGTGGGATAGACAAAAGGGGAAATAAAAGGTTGGATATAAAAGTTATGATATGAAGAATGGAAACAGAAGGTAGGGTCGAGTGGAAAGGTGGATAATGCACTTTCCAATCACCAAGGCGGTCTGGAATTAAATGCCCAATCAGACATGAAATGTTGGTGGGTCACCTACCCGACCACATTGGTCTTCTTCAAGTACTCTGGTTTCCTCCTACATGAAGACCCCCATCCCTGTGCTAACTAACATCCAGTCCAACAAGAATTATTAGAATAAGTTGAAATAACTTGTTTCATAATTTTTGTAAAATGAATAAAGTTTATATTTATAAACAGAACGTAGGATAAAAAAAATAAGAAACAGAAGGTAAGATAAGAAGGAAACAGAAAACATGGAAAAAAAATTGTACACAAAAAGAAACAACTGCATCAGGTCCTAAATGTCTGAGCTGTGATCAACAAGGGGACCAATGCATTAGGTCCTAAATGTCTGAGCTGTGACCAACAAGGGGACCAATGCTTCAGGTCCTAAATGTCTGAGCTGTGACCAGCAAGGGAACCAATGCATCAGGTCCGAAATGTCAGAGCTGAGACCAACAAGGGTACCAATGCATCAGGTCCTAAATGTCTGAGCTGGGACCAACAAGGGGACCAACACGGGGACCTAAATGTCTGAGCTGTGACCAACAAGGGAACCAATGCATTAGGTCCTAAATGTCTGAGATGAGACCAACAAGGGGACCAATGCATCAGGTCCTAAATGCCTGAGCTGTGACCAACAAGGGGACCAATGCATCAGGTCCTAAATGTCTGAGCTGAGACCAACAAGGGGACCAACAAGGGGACCTAAATGTCTGAGCTGTGACCAACAAGGGGACCAATGCATTAGGTCCTAAATGTCTGCGCTGTGACCAACAAGGGGACCAATGCTTTAGGTCCCAAATGTCTGAGCTGTGACCNTTAAATGTCTGAGCTGTGACAAACAAGGGGACCAATGCTTTAGGTCCCAAATGTCTGAGCTGTGACCAGCAAGGGGACCAATGCTTCAGATCCTAAATATATGAGCTGAGATCAACAAGGGGGCCAATGTTTCAGGTCCTAAATATTTGAGCTGAGACCAATAAGGGGGCTACTGATGCCACTACTACAGGACAAACAATTAAAGGCTGCTGTGTTAGGTCCTTAATGTGTGTCATGTTCAATGTAAAACAACATTTATCCAGGTTCTTATATTCTAGATTAATATTTTAAATTCAATATTCAAAGTACCTGGAATAACAAATGGATTACTACATCTAAATATCATCCTTTAGCTACTTTAACTAGGCCTGAGAGTAATGATAATCACACAGAAGCTGTTATAGTAATTTGTCAAAAGAAAAGTTTGATTATTCTAAATGCCTGTCATTAAAGAAACTAAAGAGACTCATTTTGTTGCTATACTCCTCTATTTGCACTCTGTCTAAAAAAAGCCTGCAGGAGCTCTTAGAAGTGGCCAGCTAATCAGATGTCATGCTGACAATATTATTTTACCTCCAGGCTACATCTTCACATCGTAATAATACCACAGTAGGATGTTCGGAATATATGCAGAGTATGACTAAGGAGGAAATTGAAAAAATTGCCAGGAAAACTGTAAGGAAACTGACACACGGAAATCCTATCGCTGTGAAGTTCTGTCATCATAATCTGCCATTTGTTCCTACAAAGCGTTCTGTTATCCATATATGGTAACGTAATTACAGAGCCGATCTCTACAGTAACAATGTGACCAGGCAGTACGGGCACCTGCAAGGCCATCACACTCATTAGATGAGCTGACATCAACATCCACCAATATAGGTCAGGAGATGACATACTATACATGACATCAATAACAAAGAAGAAAACATCTTGGTTAGGGGGGAAGACAGGGCGGGAGGGGGGAGAACATCACTCCTATATCATCATCTCAGTCCAAACACACAACATTTCAAAGGGTCTTTGCAAACATATATCATGCATAACGTTGATGAACACTTCTGCACTATGGAAATCACCACAACATATATTTCATATCAGACAAAAATGTTAAACAGGCAGATAACAAGCCAAAAATTATTGTGTTTACCATCAGAGGACAGGCAGAACAATGTGTTTGTATACTATCAGAGGACAAGCAGAGCAATGTGTTTGTATACTATCAGAGTAAAAGTAGAACAATGTGTTTGTATACTAGGAGAGGTTGCTGAATTACATTCTTTTCTTCACCCTTTGATTACTCTATATATTAACCTCCAGGTGCCATGAATCTGCACAGAAAATCCATTATGTATTTACTCATTAACCACATGTTTAATAATTAAGTGTTGGAGCTTTTTGGTGGACATAACATCAGACTATCTATTTTTACAGTTGGACCAGAAATATGTCTTTCTACCTCAAATAGCAACAGAAACAGGTTGTCATTTAAACTCAGTTACTCAACTTGTACGGCTATATACAACTGTACTGCTGAAGGTCATGTAAAAAGTCTATACTCAAGTCATCATGTGTAAATTCTATACCTGAACTGGTAGTAAATCTATAATAGTTCCAGAGTTGGAAGTGTACTCACATCAACTTCTCCCTGGTCTATCACATAGAAGTTATCACCATCGTCACCTGTCAATCATAAAATAGGTCTAGTCAATACAAGGTATTTTATTTAATCTTACTTAAAATCAACAGCAGAGAATAATATGCCTGCAATACATTGAGAAATACATTACACAGTCGTTATTAGGATTTTCCTTCACAAGTTACAAATAAGGCAAAGTGTGTTTGGTTCCTGTTAAAGAACTGTAGCGAAAAGTAAACTTAATACATGTATTCTCAATTAATAGTTTTGGGAATGTTTTTATGATTTTGTTCACACTTATGCCAGAATGTTTGGTCAAAAGCCACAGAACTAGCAGCAGTAGTTGTCAACCTGCTGCTGCATTAGCAAAGGGCAATAACTGTTGTAAAGTTTAATACAACATTGCCATTTAAAGATACTGTATGTGCATCTTCATCCTCATCACACAACAAACTGTGTGGCTAGTTTCGGTCACAAGGTTATGTAAACAAACGGATGCACAGACGAACATAATAACACCATACAGTATATACTTTTGACAAGTGTGTGCAGTTAATGCAATGCCTTCTGTCAACATATCATAATTTACTCTTTCAGCAGGCGATAAAAGTATGTATCAAACAAGTTAAATTAAATTTGTGATTCACACTTTTTTCGCAGGTCAGAAATCAATTCTATTTCAGATGTATAAGAAAATTATTTTGATTAGATCTAGTTGATCTAGACTATTGTGTTAGACTAATTGTAATTGTCATTTTCAAATCTCTACTCTCCAAACTCAAATCCCCAAGGTGACATAACTAAATAAGGAAGGAGATATTGGCGCCAGCTGTTTTAGATGTTACAATAGGTAATGAATACTGGTTCTAACTAATGCAGTGTTGAAGGAAAACAACAAATTGGTACTAGTTGAAATTTGGAATTTAAACTATGTACCAAAAGAAATCAAAATCTACATTACATAGCTCTGTAAAACTGTGACATACCATGACACTGTCTGAGATGGCTGTATATAACTGTAATATACCATGACACTGTCTGAGATGACTGTATAAAACTGTCATATACCATGACACTGTCAGGTTTAGCTGTATATAACTGATATATCATGACACTGCCTGAGATGACTGTATATAACTGTGACATACCATGACACTGCCAGGTTTAGCTGTATAATATACCATGACACTGTCAGGTTTAGCTGTATATAACTGTGATATACCATGACACTGTTAGGTTTAGCTGTATAAAACTGTGATATACCATGACACTGTCAGTTTTAGCTGTATAAAACTGTGATATACCATGACACTGTCAGGTTTAGCTGTATATAACTGATATATCATGACACTGCCTGAGATGACTGTATATAACTGTGACATACCATGACACTGCCAGGTTTAGCTGTATATAACTGTGATATATCATGACACTGTCTGAGATGTCTGTATATAACTGTGACATACCTTGACACTGTCAGGTTTAGCTGTATATAACTGTGACATACCATGACACTGTCAGGTTTAGCTGTATATATCTGTGACATACCATGACACTGTCAGGTTTAGCTGAATATAACTGTGATATACCTTGACACTGTCAGGTTTAGCTGTATATAACTGTGACATTCCATGACGCTGTCAGGTTTAGCTGTATATAACTGATATATCATGACGCTGTCTGAGAACACTGTATATAACTGTGACATACCATGACACTGTTAGGTTTAGCTGTATATAACTGTGATATATCATGACACAGTCTGAGATGTCTGTATATAACTGTGACATACCTTGACACTGTCAGGGTTAGCTGTATATAACTGTGACATACCATGACACTGTCAGGTTTAGCTGTATAAAACTGTGATATACCATGACACTGTCAGGTTTAGCTGTACATAACTGTGATATGCCAAAACACTGTCAGGTTTAGCAGTATATAACTGTGATATGCCATAACACTGTCAGGGTTAGCTGTATATAACCGTGATATGCCATAACACTGTCATGTTTAGCTGTATATAACTGTGCTATGCCATAACACTGTCAGGGTTTGCTGTATATAACTGTGATATAACATAACACTGTCAGGTTTAGCCGTATATAACCGTGATATGCCATAACACTGTAAGGTTTAGCTGTATATAACTGTGATATAACATAACACTGTCAGGTTTAGCTGGATATAACTGTGATATACCATAACACTGTCAGGTTTAGCTGTATATAACTGTGATATACCATAACACTGTCAGGTTTAGCTGTATATAACCGTGATATGCCATAACACTGTCAGGTTTAGCTGTATATAACTGTGATATACCATGGCCATGACACTGTCAGTTTTAGCTGTACATAACTGTGATATGCCATAACACTGTCAGGTTTAGCTGTATATAACTGTGATATGCCATAACACTGTCAGGTTTAGCTGTATATAACTGTGATATACCATGACACTGTCAGGTTTAGCTGTATATAACTGTGATATACCATGACACTGTCAGGTTTAGCTGTATATAACTGTGATATACCATGACACTGTCAGGTTTAGCTGTATATAACTGTGATATACCATGACACTGTCAGGTTTAGCTGTATATAACTGTGATATACCATGACACTGTCAGGTTTAGCTGTATATAACTGTGATATACCATGACACTGTCAGGTTTAGCTGTATATAACTGTGATATACCATGACACTGTCAGGTTTAGCTGTATATAACTGTGATATACCATGACACTGTCAGGTTTAGCTGTATATAACTGTGATATACCATGACACTGTCAGGTTTAGCTGTATATAACTGTGATATACCATGACACTGTCAGGTTTAGCTGTATATAACTGTGATATACCATGACACTGTCAGGTTTAGCTGTATATAACTGTGATATACCATGACACTGTCAGGTTTAGCTGTATATAACTGTGATATACCATGACACTGTCAGGTTTAGCTGTATATAACTGTGATATACCTTGACACTGTCAGGTTTAGCTGTATAAAACTGTGATATACCTTGACACTGTCAGGTTTAGCTGTATAAAACTGTGATATACCATGACACTGTCAGGTTTAGCTGTATATAACTGTGATATACCATGACACTGTCAGGTTTAGCTGTATATAACTGTGATATACCATGACACTGTCAGGTTTAGCTGTATATAACTGTGATATACCATGACACTGTCAGGTTTAGCTGTATATAACTGTGATATACCATGACACTGTCAGGTTTAGCTGTATATAACTGTGATATACCATGACACTGTCAGGTTTAGCTGTATATAACTGTGATATACCATGACACTGTCAGGTTTAGCTGTATATAACTGTGATATACCATGACACTGTCAGGTTTAGCTGTATATAACTGTGATATACCATGACACTGTCAGGTTTAGCTGTATATAACTGTGATATACCATGACACTGTCAGGTTTAGCTGTATATAACTGTGATATACCATGACACTGTCAGGTTTAGCTGTATATAACTGTGATATACCATGACACTGTCAGGTTTAGCTGTATATAACTGTGATATACCATGACACTGTCAGGTTTAGCTGTATAAAACTGTGATATACCATGACACTGTCAGGTTTAGCTGTATATAACTGTGATATACCATGACACTGTCAGGTTTAGCTGTATATAACTGTGATATACCATGACACTGTCAGGTTTAGCTGTATATAACTGTGATATACCATGACACTGTCAGGTTTAGCTGTATATAACTGTGATATACCATGACACTGTCAGGTTTAGCTGTATATAACTGTGATATACCATGACACTGTCAGGTTTAGCTGTATATAACTGTGATATACCATGACACTGTCAGGTTTAGCTGTATATAACTGTGATATACCATGACACTGTCAGGTTTAGCTGTATATAACTGTGATATACCATGACACTGTCTGAGATGGCTGTATATAACTGTGATATGCCATGACACTGTCAGAGATGGCTGTATATATACCATGACACTGTCTGAGATGGCTGTTTATAACTGTGATATGCCATGACACTGTCTGAGATGGCTGTATATATACCATGACACTGTCAGGTTTAGCTGTATATAACTGTGATATACCATGACACTGTCTGAGATGGCTGTATATAACTGTGATATACCTTGACACTGTCATGTTTAGCTGTATATAACTGTGATATACCATGACACTGTCTGAGATGACTGTATATAACTGTGACTTACCATGACACTGTCAGGTTTAGCTGTATATAACTGTGATATACCATGACACTGTCTGAGATGGCTGTATATAACTGTGATATACCATGACACTGTCTGAGATGGCTGTATATATACCATGACACTGTCTGAGATGGCTGTATATAACTGTGATATACCATGACACTGTCTGAGATGGCTGTATATAACTGTGATATGCCATGACACTGTCTGAGATGGCTGTATATATACCATGACACTGTCTGAGATGGCTGTTTATAACTGTGATATGCCATGACACTGTCTGAGATGGCTGTATATATACCATGACACTGTCAGGGATGGCTGTATATAACTGTGATATACCATGACACTGTCTGAGATGGCTGTATATAACTGTGATATACCATGACACTGTCTGAGATGGCTGTATATAACTGTGATATACCATGACACTGTCTGAGATGGCTGTATATAACTGTGATATACCATGACACTGTCTGAGATGGCTGTATATATACCATGACACTGTCTGAGATGGCTGTATATAACTGTGATATACCATGACACTGTCTGAGATGGCTGTATATAACTGTGATATGCCATGACACTGTCTGAGATGGCTGTATATATACCATGACACTGTCTGAGATGGCTGTATATAACTGTGATATGCCATGACACTGTCTGAGATGGCTGTATATAACTGTGATATACCTTGACAATGTCTGAGATAGCGCTATAAAACAGTGATATTTCATGACACTGTCAGATTTAGTTGTAGAGAACAGACTGGTATTTTCTCATTTAACCAGGCCAGACAGCATTAACTTATGACATTTTACATCGGTCAGGCACATACTAAACTCTACATTTATTTACCTAACGCTGCTATATATTGCTACTGAAAATATTAATCTGAAGATTGATTTGCTGGAACAGAATTCAATCTGCTGAGTGGATTTGCCCAGCACAGGAACATTTTCACACATTTGCAAAGAATGTTTGAATCTACGTCTAGCCTCATCAATGTCTGCCCCTCACTTACCCTTGAATCAACTTTTCAACTTCAATATATAGGTTTGGTTTTAAATAAATTGGTATGTTGGTTTACACTTAGCCAGGCCCTGATGTAGATTTTGTTTAAGTAGTTTACAGCCGAGATCCGTCACTCATTTCCATTAGGAACGAGCGAGAAGTGACCTTGCTACTCACCTTGTTGAATAATAATTTCCCCAGAATGCCGATGGACTGGAAACATGGCATCAAAAATATCACTGTAAAATAGAATATTAGTGTGACACATCATCAATTTACCTGTTTTTTCATGATGGCATTGATATTATTGATCTGGGGAACTTCAATTCATGAGCATACAACTACATCATGTTGTGAACTAAAATATCTGTTATCTTAATGGCAAATTGGCAAATTATTTGAAATCATCAGCCCATTTCCTAATCCTTCCATACATAGACTTTTGTAATATTTACAAAGATAATTTATAACATACAGAATCACAGTAACAAGGGGACCAGAGGGCCTGTATCGCTCACCTAATATGTTTAAAATAATTGGTATGAAGTCAAGATATAGCACTCCATGGTAGGTACTGTCATATTAAATTTCAGAAAGATCCATCCAATACTTGAGATATAGCGAGAACAAACTTCAAACAGAATCGATTCACTTGAGACACACTTTCTCATAAAAACATAAGAATCAAGTGTAAAACCTTTATTTAAGGTATAACAAAACAAAAGTACCCGGTAACAGTTTATAAAGTAGCCATGGTAACATATTAAAGTTTTTACCAAGTTAAAATGTTTTCACTGCTAGGGGTAGATCGTGTTGATGTTGATTGCCGCGAGTCACTAATTGAAATGCCATGCTTTCTTTTTAAATGATTTGACATCGAAGACGTAGACCCTGTTTGGTATTTGAATAAAACAGTGTTCCCTGTCACTTTTGTAATTGTTTTTTTTTGTACCCCCATACCTCTCAAAATGGGGGTATGGCTGCATATATTAGGGGTTCACCTATCTAAATCCCCATGGGTATGTAATATCATCACAAAATTGTTAACTAATTGTAGCAATGCCATTTTTACATGTTTTCATATATTTCATAATATTTCCAGTCTGTCATATAATAAAAACACCAAGAATCAGTTAGTAAAAACAATGTAATTTTTACATGTTTTTATTCATTTCATGATATTTCCAGTTTGTCATAGAATAAAAACACCAAGAATTAGTCAGTAACAGAATGAACATTGTGTAAGGAGGCAGTACCCAAATCAGAGCAGTACCCAAATCGGATCACTTTTGGCAATAATACTTATACTTCAATAAATATGCCAACAATTAGTTATAACATTGATGTATTCTTAGCCATGCACCAGTTTATTTCTATAGATGATTCGTTTTTAAGTTCAAATTGCACAAGAAAACGTAATTCAAACTCAAATGTCAGTGTTTTGATTACGTTTTAAAAACTGGCGCGTATTACTGAAACAGAGATCATGTAACTTACCCACACTGGGCACAGTCATTGTGTAAGAATATGAACTGAAAGTTGTCGTCTTTAGCCGATGACAAATAGTGTCTGCTGTTTTTTTCCGTCATTCATGATCAATTATGCAGTATAGTGATAGTCAGCCCTGAGGATACCGATAGTTCGGCTACGCACTCGGGTATTGCGGACTCATTACCTCCCGTAGTAATTATATTCGCCGCTTGGTATTATATTCGCCGCTTGGTGCGCTGCATGCATTGTTTACTACAGGACTTCCGTCATTCGCGGGAAATTCTGACAGTCGCTTTCAATTTTATAAAGGTTTTACCTCAAAATACAAACAAGCTACTAAAATGACTTAACATTGTGCAAAATTATTGTGCGTACACTGCAGAGCACACCATTTTCTAACACTCAGAATTGGAACCAAACGGAACCGATTTCCGGAGATCCTTATCGGTGACTCGATTCGAAAGGTCTGATTCGCGAAGCACCGATAATTTCGGTGCACCGCACACCCTTACCTTGGACCAAGGATGCTCCAGACTAAATGATGATAAAATATCCCTTAATCCCAATGGTCAAAGAAGGATTATAAAGGTTTTACCTCTATTTCTCCTATTGGGCCCCACCCTTCTGCTCCCTGGTAGACCAAACCCACTGCTTATACAAAAGAGTAAATTAGGATAAAATCCCTTAATTCCTATGGTAGAAGAAGGATTTTAAAGGTTTTACCTCTATTTGCACTATTGGGACTGCCTCTCTGCCTCCAGGGGGGTTAGACACACCATTCATACAAAGTTGGTACCCCTTCACCCAAGGATGCTTCATACCAAATTTGGACAAAACCCTGTCAATTCGTACAGAAGAAGGTATTTGAAGAATTTGCTATGTTTCCCCTATTGGGCCCCTCCCTTCTTCCCCCAGGAGGGCCACACTCGATGTTTAAATGAAATTGAGTCCCTTTAGCCCAAGGATGCTCCAGACTAAATTAGGATAAAATCCCCTAATCACTATGGTAGCAGAAGGATTATAAAGGTTTCACTTCTATTTCCCCTATTGGGCCCTGCCCCTCAGGTCCCAGGGGGGCCACACCCACTGTATATACAAAAGTGGTTCCCCTTTACCCAAGAATGCTCCACACCAAATCATTCCTACAGAAGAAAAAAAGAAGGATTTTAAAGAACAATTTTCTATGTTTCCCCTATTGGGCCCCGACCCTCAGGCCCCTGAGGGGGGTGGGGGGTGGGGGCAGACCCACAGTTTATATAAAATTGGTTCCCCTTTAACTAAGGTTGCTCCACACCAAATATGGACCAAATCCCTTCATTTCTACATAAGAAGGATTATAAAGAATAACTTGCTATGTTTCCCCTATTGAGCCCCGCCCCTCAGGTCCCTGGCGGGCCAGACCCACAGTTTACACAAAATTTGTTCCCCTTCCCCCAAGGATGCTTCTGACGAAGTATGGAACAAATCCTTTCATTCCTGCAGAAGAAGAGGGATTTTAAAGAATTTGCTATATTTCCCCTAGTTGGCCCCGCCCCTCAACCCCCAGGGGGGGCAGACCCACCATTTATATAAAATTGAGTCCCCTTCAGCCAAGGATGGTTCAGACCAAATATGGAACCAATCTTTTCATTCCTACAGAAGAAGAAGTATTTTAAAGAATTTGCTTTAATTCCCTATTGGGCCCCGCCCCTCAGGCCCCAGGGGGGCCAGATCCAGCATTTATGCAAAATTGAGTCCCCTTGGCCAAAGGGATGCTCCAGACTAAATTAGAATCAAATCCCTTAATCCCTACGGTAGTAGAAGGATTTTAAAGGTTTTACCTCTATTTCCCCTATTGGGCCCTGCTCCTCAGCCCCCAGGGGAGGGCCACACCCACCATTAATACAAAATCGAGTCCCCTTGGCCTAAGGATGGTCCGGACCAAATTTAGTCAAACTCTACTTTGCTGTTCAGGACTAGTAGCATTTTAAAGGAAAAGTTGACAGACGGACAGACAACGGGCGCTGTGGTATGGCATAAGTTCACCATGCATGGTCCTTAGGAGCTAAAAACTTAAACAGGTCTGCTCACCTTCGTTCATTATCGTCTAGATGAGAAAAGAGCACGTTTCTAGCTATTGCCTTGGATAATGCTGCCATGGTCTTGTAATCCTTCGGTACCACCTAGAACACACATCAAATAACAGGCTCAGTCAATGTTCACATTATCTACAGTTTTCACCTACCACCTAGAACACACAACAAATAACAGGCTCAGTCAATGTTCACATTATCTACAGTTTTCACCTATCAACATACACTCATCTGGTATACATGCAGACAAATCACATAGCACTTACAATTAATCAAGATTCGATTTTAAATTGTATAAAAAAACAATACCACTGACTTGAGCTCTATTTTCTACAGCAGTTATCAATAATCTCTAACAAGATAAACAGTGTGAAAATAATTGTAATCCTGAAAATCAGCAGAACACACATTTCAACTGGTTTTCAAAAATTGTTTTTGGTGAAATATTATCGATTATATTGCTCTCAGTTTTGAAATTATTAACTCCTACTGGGCTCATTTTGCTCTTTTTTACCCCCATACTCCCTGCAGCACCCATTTCATCTCCATCCTACCCCTTCAAGCCCATAAGTGTTTGTTGAAACTCTGTTTTGCCCCTATAACCCCCATTCTACCCCTCAAAGCCCATAAGTGTTTGTTGAAACTCTGTTTTGCCCCTATAACCCCCATTTTACCCCATTCTACCCCATCCTTCCCATCAAAGCCTAGAAGTGTTTGTTGAAACTCTGTTTTGTTCATAACCCCCATTTTACCCCATTCTACCCTTCTGAAGTGCTCTTTTAAGCTCTATCCCATTCTATATTCCTCAATGCCCACAAGTGCTTGTTTAATCTGTTTTACCCCTATGTTTGCAGTGCTGATTTCCCCACATGTTACCCTCAAAGTGATCTGTTGGATTCTCTCACATAAAACACATCCAAAACAAAATAAATTTCAAAAGTAATCAAAGATCCAGAATCACTAATGAGAGTATGTTTTAACAAGAGGCCCAATGGGCCTGAATCGCTCACCTGGTATTAATCTCACACTTGTAATCTTAAAAGTGGACTAAAATACAGCTACAGGCAGAATATCAGTGTTTGATTCATAAGAACCTATTAAAAGATTTAAACTTATGACGCCTGTGACCTTGAATGTCGAACAAGGACATTAGGTTGAACAGAGTTTAAAGTCTTCCAACCCAGCATGCTTTTGGAAAAATATCATGACCCTAGACATATTGGTTATACAGAACATGTCATTTAAAGATTTAAACATATATTGATCACTGTGACCTCGAATATGGGCGAAGGTCATTCATTTTGACAAAATTGCTAGCCCTTCATCCCAGCCTGTTAATGACCAAATATCATCACCCTTGGCCTTTGGCTAATTTAGAAGAAGTCGTTTAAAGGTTTTAAACATATTTGACCCCTGTGACCTTGAATATATGTAAAGGTCATTCATTTGAACATGACCTTGAATATATGTAAAGTTCATTCATTTGAACAAACTTTATAGCCCTTTATCCAAGCATGCTACTGGCCAAATATCATTATCCTAGGCCTCTTGGTTATTGAGAAGAAGTTGTTTAAAGGTTTTAAAAATATTTGACCCATGTGACCTTGAAAATAAGTAAAGGTCATTCATTTGAACAAACTTGGTAGCCCTTCATCCTGGCATGTTACTGGCCAAATATCATTATCCTAGGCTTCTTAGTTATTCAGAAGAAGTTGTTTAAAGATTTGTTAAGACAATTGACCCCTGTGACCTTGAAAATGGACGAAGGTCATTCATTTGAACAAACTTGGTAGCCCTTAATCACAGCATGCTACTGGGCAAATATAGTAACCCTATGCCTCTTAGTTATTCAAAAGAAGTTGTTTAAAGGTTTTTAACATATTTGACCCCTGTGACCTTGAATATAAGTCAAGGTCATTCATTTGAACAAACTAGGAAGCCCTTCATCCCAGCATGCTACTTCGGGCCAGGTGAGCTAAAAATACCAATGAAAAAGGAATCAATATATTTTTTTTAAATAAAAGGTCAGAAAAAAAAGATGATGACAGCTTTGATCTTAAGATTTATTCCAGCGATAAAAGAGTTGGCAGCGACTCAGACAGGATTTCCAGGCATCATGCTGGTGTATCAAAGACTGTCACCTTCATGTACAGTATATATAATAACTGGTTTACACATAAAACAACACTAATTCCATTCTTATCAATCACTAGACGCAATAAGCTTTTCCTTCGCCGAGGCTATTAAATGTTCAGTATCCCTACGGTCAATGATTGGGGTTATTAAATATTACAAATAAAGAACTTTCTTATTCAAAAGACTTATCATCAAAGAAAGCGTGAACCATGCTTTTGTAAGGGATATTGATCCGACTCCCCTCAGGAAATAAGTAAGCATTGATGACTGTACTCTTTTAAAATTTTCATAAAATTGAGGAGAAGTATAGAGAAGCCAATATAACGCCCTGACCAACAGTGAACAATACTTCAGAAACATCTACTGGATTACGGATAAAGGTCAAATGATCACATAGTGATGAGGAAAGTATTGATAACAACCAGCTCCTTACCAAAGATAATACACCTACACAAGGAACCCTGATCCCTGTCCATCACACTTCCTTCCTAATGTGTGTGGATGACACAAGTTTGAAATTGAAAATTTATACTTATAACACCTGGTATTAGCTAGTGTACAGTATCTGTAACATGAAACATAATATTCCTATTTTTAACAATATATAATCCTATATTTAACATATGATATCCCAGCAGACCTGTAGCCATATCTGACTTGATGTTAGACCTGCTGTGTTAAGACAAATATCTTTTGTCTGATTTTATGAAGTGTACACTTTTTGTGTACACTTTTTGTATACACCGTGTACAATGGAATTCCTCCAACTGTTGGCTTTTACATCCTTGTCACATCTGTTAGAATAAGAGAACTGAAGATTTCAGGAAGAAAGGTCAAGAAGCAATGCTGGGTTTACAAAATAAGAGTTATAAAATAAGATTGATATTTCACAATGCTGACACTAGACCTCATTGATTCTGTCTACTTGAAAGTTCATTATGAGGAAAATGAACTTTTTGGGTATATTTCTAGTGGTTTGTCAGATGAAATTTCATGAGAATGAAGAGATTTAGTCCTAATTGACACTTGGCCAAGTCTCAAACATAGACATACAATAATAGTGACAGGACAAACTAGAAAAGAGGGGTGGGTCACAGCACCACAAATCTCACACTCAATTATGAAGAAATAGACTAATTCAAATTCCTAACGATCTACATTCGACCTGTTGATGTGTGAAATTAGAGGACGTTAATGACAAGAGACCCATGTTAACGACCAATAGAACACAACACGCCACACATTAATTCAGCTAGACTGTTATCAATCCGCCGCCCTTTAACTTTTCCTAGAAATGATAAGACTCAGGAGGGGTATTGTGAATACATTATTGCATACAGTTGAATCCTATCTTGCGTTACAGTGACAGAAACCATCAATAGTTTTACACTCCCCATATAGAATAATCCCCTTACTCCTGCTCAATGCCTTCATCTTCTATTCAATTAAGATAGATGGACTTGAGGTTAACCATCTCTGCATCATGTAGCAAGAAGGGGCCAACGCAATACCCGATAAAACATTTAGTACTCTAATGATGTCTAACTCCTAACGCTTGTTATTTACACTCCAGTAGTCTTACCTAACTCCTCTACAAGATTTACTTGAGTTTTGTGCTTGGTCCATCAGCCACGCTTTAATTTCCAACCCACATTTACATACCGTCTATATTACACAAGTCAACTACACATATACGCTCTCCTAATCCAACAACAATATGCCATTCCCTAAAATCACAGTATAATTACAAACTTGAATGCATATGAAGAGCGGATAAACTTGCTCTCAGAAAATTGGATGTTTGAACCAATATCTATAATGAAGGAAAGTGGTTATGTTTGTACATGTACAGGGCTCAACATTAACTTACTTGCCTTGTCATGCAATTGAAATCAAATCTTACTTGCCTGAACAAACTCTTGACTTACCCGAAAAATGGAGAAAACCCCAGAATAAACACTCATTGAACATCCCTTGAGTGACCTTAATGCATGCTGATAAAAAAAAAAATCTGCATTGCTGTTTGTCGAAAGATGATTTAAATTGTCAATGGGCCTTAAAACAACACAAAACAAAGAAATTGCGTCTGAAATTCTGAAGTCTGGCTTATTATATTGAACGGAAGGATGTCACTGTCTTAGTAAAAGGTCAGCAGATCTCTCCAACACTCTGTGCTCCAGAAATACAGGGTTGCCAAGTCTCACGGCGTGAGACAAAATCTCACGCATTCGTCACGCTGAGACAACCTTACTCACGCTGAAACATGTCTCACACCACGTGAGCCATAAATCTCACGCATTCGAAAAATATTCTCCCTCCATCCCACGCGAAGCCATAAATCGGCAACTTTTAACTTGGACCGTACAAAGGGGAATAACTCTTATAGCAACTTTGTGCTTTGAAAGAGAGCTGACACGAGGTGTCGCTTTACATCCGGTGGAAACAAATGTAAATATATCGTAAGGTTAGTTGTTTTCACTCGTAAACTTAATATTGAACATACCTATCGCACAGAAAAAGAAAGTTTTACTAATAATATCGTCATGTATTAGGAAAGGTTGTTTTCAGGTCGGGCCTTCACAAATATTAAGAGAAAACAATTCTTGAAACACGAACAGACAGTCGCTAATGGCTGATGAAAAGTTGGTAGTTAATTTTTTGCAGTAAAGTGGCGTATATGATTTAACACACCAGAGACTTGTAGTAATAAACAATTTTAATCTGATGTGATGAAAAATTAACGAGTTTCAGGAAGTGCTTTGGCATGTTGGATAGACATAGTACGTAGGTGGGAATACATAGTCATGCAACAAATCAATTGAATCAGATTGCAAACGTGGTATAAATGATAAGGGTCTATTTGTTGCTTAGGATAGTAGCCAGAAGTAATTTGAAAATATTTTTCCTCTTTCAAATTATCATTTTTCTTTTTTTTTTCTTTCATGTTAATGAAC